TCTCTCTCTCTCTCTCTCTCTCTCTCTCTCTCTCTCTCTCTCTCTCTCTCTTGCTCTTTCTATTCCCCTCTCTCTTGCGCTCTCTATGTCTTGAGCTGTGGAAGGGGCATAGTACATTATTATGGGGGTTAGGTAAATTATCTTTTGAACGTGAGATAGATTACTATAATTATACATTTGTGTGTGTGTACGTGTGTATGTACGTGTGCTGTGTGTATGTGTGTGTTTGCGAGCATGTGTTTGTGAGTATGGGTGGGTGAATTAGGAGTACCCTAGCACTCTAGGGTTGTTATTGATGTCGTTACTATCGTCGTGATTTCTTTTTGGTTTTAATTTTTCAGTTATATAATATGTCCGTCATAGTTTTCTCTTGGTGTTTACTCAAAAGATATGCTATTTGCTTCATTTGTTCTGCTTCTTTCTTCCGATGTGTTTCAGTTTTATCTTTATAAATACACCACTCTATTTTTTCGTCCTCTGGTTCTCTAAACTAGGATTAGTCTGCTAGTTATTCTATTGATTCATAAAGAAGACCTCTTCGTGACTCCATGCCATGTGTTGTTACGCAAAAAAATGAGAAACATTGAACAATGTAATATAATATTTAAAAAAAATTAAAAACCAGAAAAAAAAATCAAAGAGAAAAAAACAAAAACTCGAACAAAAACAAAAAACCCCTCTCCCAAACGAAAAAGAAAAATGAATTAATTCAATTAAATTAAATTTTTAAATAATAATTTTTTTATAAAAATGGAATACAATTAAATAGAATAGAATAAAATAAAATAGAATAAAACAATAATATTCATTAACAATTAAATAAACAAATACGAAAGACGGGAATGTATGTAGCAGCTGTGGGACGAGTTCACCTCTTTAAGTCTCGTGACCCGGTCTATTTGTTCATATGAAATGTTCCGGGTGGCTTCATCCCCCTCTCCCTCTCTGTGTGTTCCTTGCTTCCTGTCTGGGGTTTTGACAAATCGTCGTTCGCACTCTTGTTTCATTACGATAATCACCTTTGTGAGATGAGGAGATAGAGACTGGATTTCTCTTTGTCTGCATGTTTGTCTGTTTATGTATCTGTTTGTTTGTTTGTTTGTCTGCCTGTTTGTCGGTTTGTCTGTTTTTTCTCTTCCTATTTCTCTCCCTCTAGAGCGTCCACTGTTTCTCCTCCCTCCCCTCTTCCCCCCCCCTCTCTCTCTCTCTCTCTCTCTATCTATCTATCTATCTATCTATCTATCTATCTATCACTCCCTCTCTCTCTTTTATATGAAATATGTGTTTGAAAGACAGACAAACAGATGAACTGGAAAATATACAGACAGACAAGCAAACGGACATGCAAATAAACAGAAATCGTATGTTTGCAGCCTTGCACGACCGGACAAACGTGCAATTTTCGTACCAGATGAGCAGAGTTTTTGATTGTCTTTGTCTTTATCATTGCTCTACCCACCTCTCATATTACACTTCTTACTTACTCTCCCACGCCCTTCTCTCTCTCTCTCTTTCTCTCTCTTTCCCTTCCTTCTCTCTCTCTCT